AATTATAATATACAAAACGATTCTTACCACTACTTTATTACTCGAGAGTCACAGTACGAATGATGACAAAGCGGCACCGTATAGAGCGCTACTGTTTATATTTTATATTGCCAAAATCGTACATCGTGTCATCGATAATTCGTTATCGTAATATTTTATATATTATGAAATATACATTAACGTAAAATATTAAATTATGAAAGTATTTAATTTATTGATTAAAATTAATTATTTATCATACAATTCACGCAGTCTTTTGTTATGCTAATTATTTGCTTCTATAAATCGATTGTTTTACTTCGCGTTCTCTCACATCCCAAATTATATTTAGATTATCAAGTAGAACGATAAAATAACACGGATGAAATATATTTGCGATTCTAAATATTAAAATAATAATGATTGTCCGTAAAAATCGCAATTATCAAAGTGATTATTTAATATTTTAAATCCCTATAATTTCATCGATTATCGATTAAATTGTGTATTTAGAAGGATTCAGAAAACTTAAAGCATCGAATCAATATATATTTAATTCTAATATTATATTCTAATATTATAAAGAAATATTCTAATAAGGATCGATGATCGAAATATCACAACATAATCTTTTATCCTCTTTTATGTATAATTTGTTTCAATTTTTAATCGCGGTTATCAATGATTGCGATTTGATAAAGATTTATCGTTGCTATACTGTTTCATGTCGCTAATTAATTTTTATTAAAATTTATAGTAAATTATGTTTCCATACTAATTGTAATCATGTTTAGTAAAAAAATTATAATATACAAAACGATTCTTACCACTACTTTATTACTCGAGAGTCACAGTACGAATGATGACAAAGCGGCACCGTATAGCGCGCTACTGTTTATATTTTATATTGCCAAAATCAAACATCGTGTTATCGATAATTCGTTACCGAAATATTTTATATATTATGAAATATACATTAACGTAAAATATTAAATTATGAAAGTATTTAATTTATTGATTAAAATTAATTGTTTTTCATACAATTCACGCAGTCATTTGTTATGCTAATTATTTGCTTCTATAAATCGATTGTTTTACTTCGCGTTCTCTCACATCCCAAATTATATTTAGATTATCAAGTAGAACGATAATATAACACGGATGAAATATATTTGCGATTCTAAATTTTAAAATAATAATTATTGTCCGTAAAAATCGCAATTATCAAAGTGATTATTTAATATTTTAAGTCCTTATAATTTCATCGGTTATCGATTAAATTGTGTATTTAGAAGGATTCAGAAAACTTAAAGCATCGAATCGATATATATTTAATTCTAATATTATATTCTAATATTATAGAGAAATATTGTAATAAGTATCGATGATCGAAATATCACAACATAATCTTTTATCCTTTTTTGTGTTTAATTTGTTTCAATTTTTAATCGCGGTAATCAATGATTGCAATGATAAAGATTTATCTTTGCTATACTGTTTCATGTCGCTAATTAATTTTTAGTTAATTAATTTTTATTAAAATTTATAGTAAATTATGTTTCCATACTAATTGTAATCATGTTTAGTAAAAAAATTATAATATACAAATCGATTCTTACCACTACTTTATTACTCGAGAGTCACCGTACGATTGATGACAAAGCGGCACCGTATAGCGCGCTACTGTTTATATTTTATATTGCCAAAGTCGAACGCCGCGTTATCGATAATTTGTTGCTGAAATATTTTTACATTTTATATATTATAATATATACATTAACGTGGAATATTAAATTATGAAAGTATTTTAATTTATTGATTAAAAATATTAATTATTTGCATCTATAATTCGATTGTTTTACTTCGTGTTCTCCCACAATCCAAATTATATTTAGATTGTCAAGAACGATAAAGTGACTCGGATAAAATATATTTGTGACTCTAAGTATTAAAATAATAATTATTGTCCGTGAAGATCGCAATCATCAAAGTGATTAATTAATAATATCTTGGATTCCTATCATTTAATCGATTCTCGATTAAATTGTATATTGTTTATTTAACAAGGATTGAGAAAATTTAAAGCATTAATCGAAATATATTTAATTCTAATATTGTTAAAGAAATATTATAATCAGCATCGATAATCGGAAGATTATATTTAATTTTCTTATCACCTTTTGTATATCCTCTGTTTCAATTTTTAATCGCGGTAGTGAATGATTATGATTCGATAAATATTTATCGTTGTGGTACATTTTCATGATCGTTAATTAATTTTTAATTAATTAATTTTTGTTAATATTTATAGCAAATTATATTTCGATACTAATCGTAATCGTTTTTAATAAAAAAATTACTGTATACGAAACGTTTCTTACCATTACTTTATTAGGAGCGAGCCACCGTGCAAATGATGACAAATCGGTAACATATAGCGCGCTACTGTTTATATTTTATATTGCCAAAGTCGAACGCCGCGTTATCGATAATTATATATAATTTGTGTGTGGGATTGATTATATCATTCAATAATGTAATCTGACTCATTATAGCGCTTCTGATTTTTACGTCATGTACGAAATAAGTATGTAAGCATTTAGTTAAAATAAAATTTTTTTTTCTCATTGTAATGTCTACTTATATGAATATTATTGAATAAAAGATTAGGTACACGACGATCATTTTCTTTAATAAAAAAAAATTGGAATCTAATTCACAGAGATGTTAGAATAATAAATAACAATGAGAAAATTATATAATAATTATATTATATATAATATTATATTCTATATATTATATATAATAATTATTATCACAATTGCTGCTCCTTAGATTTGCAACCGCGTTCATATTAATATATAATGCTTAATTCTTTTTCTTATTATTTATTTCCGTTCTTATATGAACGAAATGTCGACCGAAAGATAAAAGCAATCTGGATAGCTGTCTAATTGTATATAAAACATACTATCTTAAACTGAATCAATGAAAATTTTTATTGATTAAAATATAATACAGCGTATTTCTCATTTAAATAAGCATTGTCTTTTTATAACATTTTTTGCGAATTATTTATATAGAACAATAAATGTGTTTTTAAAATCTGCAAATAATTTTTTAGAAGATATAGTTAAAATGTTTTAAATATATTTTTTTCTAAATGCAAATCGAAATTATCAATGAATTAATGTACGTTAATTACAATAATATTTTATAGCTGAAAAACATAAAAATATATGTATATCTAAACATTTATACAGATGACATTGATTGCTTTCATTGTAATATATGAATAATATATAAAGTACACCTTTAATAAATCGAATTTAAAAAGAAAATGCTCAAAACTACACTGTACAAACGAGTGTGTAAGTAACTGAAATATATGAAATACATTTGTGCGAGTACATTTGTGTGTAACTAAATTGAGACATAAATCTTGTACGCGATAAAAAAGTGATGACAGGCGGACATGAAAATCGGTATTATTTTGGCTTAGTTTTTATCTTCATATCGAGTTTTTATGTTCATATCGAGTTACAATAGATAAGGCCGAGTTGAAGCTCGCTCGAGCTTGCCCTTTAAAAGCAATTAGAGAAAAGGATGCAACGAGGGTGCGACAAGGATGCGAGAAGAAACGCGAATAAGACGTGAGATACGACGCGAGTGACAAAATCCGAGTTTTCTATTGGATTTAAGGATCGAGGAGCTATGCTTATTGGCTATCGATTGAGTCCGCGTGGAGTATTTAGCTCAGCAGTCCGCGCGGATTATTTAGGTCAGGAAAAATTCGGGATGCTACATATATGCAACATCTGACGCGAATATTAATCATTACGCAAACACAAATTAAATGCAAATACATTCAATTTTAATATTTTTATAAATCTATTTTCTAATAAAATTAAGTATCTAAATTAATTGATTGTAAAATTAATTATTACGCGCAATCAATTTTTTTGCCTTTCAAACAGATATTTAATATTGTAAATTATAATTATCAAGCATTATCTTGAATATAAACTTTTAATAAAAATTCAGTCTATAAAAATATCCAATTCTTATATACAAAGTATATAATAATTACATTATTGTGAAATATTTTATAAAATATTGAACTATCTTGAAATATCAATTAACACGAAAAATATTTTATTATATTATTTGGAATATTTTAAAATAAAAACTGAAATATTTTTTATATATGCTAGATAATAATTAAGAATAAATTCGAAAAAGTGAAATAGGAACAGGCAATATGTCTAAAAGTAACTAAATGAATGATAAATAATTTATAAATGACTTACATTTTATATTTCGTTGCTCCGTAAGTACGTCTTTTATTGCTTAAATTGATAAATGACAATATTTTATCAAATCGAATATATATATATATATATATATATATATATATAAACTGTAAATTAAAAAAAAATAAGAAATTATTTATGTTCTAATATATAATTTAGCTTTATTTAATATCTTAATTATCGGCATTATTAGATAACGATAGCATTTACATTTGAACTTAACATTATATAAAATGTTTATAATGACATACAATATTTACTATATTATATTTATTTTTATATATACAAATTATATTATTAATAATATATAATATATATAATTATAAAATATATATAATATATAATATGTTATTAAATATTACAATTACACTATATCAATGTTAAAAGCTGATTTTATTTTCCTCATTCCCTACGGATTTGCATTCAAGGTATCAATCAAGGAATTTTTTCACTTTCCACGAAAAAAAATTACATGATCAATCCTCTGATTTTATTATTTTTCAATTTTGCGAGATCGATAAAAGAAGAACGATCGTCAGATAGGCAACCCGACTTACTGATCTGTATGTTGCGGAAGCACCCTGTATATGTTACCCTCTGAGAACATTTGTGAAAATTGTTTTGTAGTTCATGTCCTCGTTTTTAATGTCCATAGAGGGAGTATCGCTTCCAAGGATCATTTAAAAGCTGGCCATGACATCTCTCAGTCTTCTCTCTGGTTCAAATGTAAGCAGAGCAGAAGTCACGTATGTTGGGGTATGCAACGCAAATAAACTTAAAATGAATGAGAATCTGGAAAACATCAATCCAAAGCTCTATAAGAGATTGAATGACAGAGAAATCACAGCCGAAGAGCAAGACGAAGATGTCGCGGATGAATTTGACGCAAGAGAGATTTTCGGTACATATAACTTCAAAGTGTTTATCAATAATCGACTCTTGTTTAGTTAATTATGCATGCAGTAATTTAAATATCTCTATTGTATGTATGATATTTATATGCATTTGGCATTTAATTGAATAAGGAATAATTGTTTTTGCTTATATACATATTATTTAACGGTACATATATTAAGAAATATATAATATAACATGGCAATTATTTGTATAACATTATATATGCGTGTGTGTATTTTATTATATGTGCATTCTTTAAATAGAATAGAATCTAATATTGATCATTTGCAGACATAATCAGGAACATCAATGATCCAGAACATCCTTTAACTTTGGAAGAATTAAATGTAGTAGAACAGAGCCTCATCGAGGTAACATATACATATTTTTCTAAACAGTAATATTCCACATATTGCAATTTGTTAAGATTCAACTTTATAGGTGGATGATAAAGGAAACAAAGTGGATGTAAAGTTTACACCCACGATACCTCATTGTAGTATGGCTACTCTAATTGGATTGTCAATTCGTGTACAATTGCTGCGTGCTCTACCTGCCAGGTTCAAGGTTAGTGTGAAAATATCCCCTGGTACTCATGTCTCGGAGGAAGCAGTAAACAAACAACTCGCGGATAAAGAAAGAGTGGCTGCAGCTTTAGAAAATTCAATGTTACTTAATGTGATCAATCAGTGCTTAGCTCCAAAAAATTAACAATATAAATTAAGATTTTTATAACATTGATGTGTCTAAGTTATTTTACATAGATATGTACACATATATGTGTGTATAAAACATATATGGCTATGTAAAACAACAGCACATCATTGTTATAGATATAAGAATACATATATATGTGTATATGTATATATAGCTTTAAACTTCCATCAAATATATCTTTCTAATAAATTTTTCGAAGTGAATAAAATTATTTGGTTCTGAATTTTGTCGCAAAATTTAAATTTTTAAATGGGCTAAAAATTATACAATAGCTCTTATAATAATTTAGAAATTAGTTGAAAAGTGAATGGCTCGAAAAATTTATTAAAAATTTATATATATATATATATATGGAAAATTATGACAAAGAAATACTTAATATGTTTTATATACATGTATGTATATGCATATATGATGTGTGTAATATTAGATATAAGAGAGAGCAAATATAAAAATAAAGTGTTTTAAAAGCAAAATAAAAGGAGAGAAAACCAGAAGATTTTTTTTATGAAGAGAAAACACTTGTATACCGACATTCTATGAACATTAATAAGTTGAAAAAGTTATCTATACAGGATTTGGAAAATAGCAGTATTTCAGGAAGTGATCCAAAAACGAGAAAAAAAGCTCTACAAATATAGGTCCAGAAATAAATCGTTTCCGAATTGTAGGCACTTTTATGTTTAAAAAATCGTAATTTATAGTCTGTTTGGTATTTCTTTTTTTAATTTTACATTTTTTAATTTAATATTTGAATTTAAAAATTTAAATTTAAATATTTATATAGTTTTTTAAATTTAAATAGCGTTTTTGGGGTCCCGAATCATTTCTCGAAGTATCGCGATTTTCTGAATATCCCGTATAAATAAATTTTTCTTCCCGGAAAAGGTTTATATGTGACGTCATAATTATAAAACTTGTCTTATGCTTGCATACGTAAAGGTGCGGCCTCATTGACGCTAAAAAGTAGCGTCAATCATTGGTTGAACAAGGAGGTAAGTATAGTTGCTTCATTGTTCAACCAATGGTTGACGCTACTTTTTAGCGTCAATGAGGCCGCATCTTAACACGTGTTTATTCGTCCATATAAACATATTTAATTTTTTTCTTCATTCAATTCTTTTATCGTGATTCGTTTTCTGATTGCATTTTTTTTTATGAATGCTGAAAGCAAGAGATAAATCAAAGATTTTTTTCTTTTGATTGATCAATCAAATGTTTTCATCAAAGTTTATTCGCCATTTGAAAACGTGGCTTTCTTGACGCTCTACCACGTGACTTGTGTCATGTGATATATGTTTTGGTGCAGTTTAGTGTAACATGGCGGTTCTGTCTGTCAAAATTCGATGATACGGTACTCGAAGATCCATTTCTGCCGTGTTTCACATCCGATGAATTAACATTAAAAGATGCCCGTTGACATCAATAGATTGACAGAGGGTTGGTTAGAACTGGAAAGTGATCCTGGTACGTTGATGGAGAATATGATGAGAAATGTATCTGTCAATGAAATGTGTCCACTTTTGTGCATTTCTTTCTTCTTCGTAGTTTTCAAAAAGCGCGCATTTGCGTTGTAAATTTGCAATATTTGAAAACTGAAAATTTTTTCGCACATGTTTAAGGCTTGTTTACGTTGCTCTTGGAAGACTTTGGGGTGAAGGGCGTTCAAGTGGAGGAGATTTATGATCTGCAAAAATCCCTCGAAGGTCCGGTTTATGGTTTTATTTTTCTATTCCGTTGGATCGAAGAGCGGCGATCGAGACGAAAGGTCGTGGAACAGGACGAGAGTTTTGTCAAGGATGAAGAGATTGTCAACAATATCTTCTTTGCACAGCAGGTCTAGTATACAGTGGCATTTCTAATGTCAGATCTCTATATCTTTATTATTTGTTATTTTATAATCTTTATGTACATCTTCTTCATAATCATTGTACAACAGGTTGTTCCCAACAGTTGTGCGACTCACGCGTTACTTTCGGTTTTGCTGAATTGTCCGAATATTCACCTGGGTACAACCCTATCTCGATTGAAGATGCATACCTCTGGTATGTGTCCAGAAAACAAGGGCTGGGCAATCGGTAATACACCAGAGCTGGCCTGCGCACACAATTCACACGCTATGCCTCAAGCCAAGAGGCGACAAGATAAGAACACTGGTGTCTCTACAGGCCGCTTCACTGGTGAGGCTTTTCATTTTGTAAGTTACGTTCCAATAAATGGCAGACTTTTCGAGCTGGATGGTTTAAAACCTTATCCCATGGATCACGGACCATGGAAGGAGCATGAGGAATGGACGGAGCAATTTAGACGCGTGATAACTGATCGTTTAGGTATGGCCACGGGCGAACAGTTGCAAGATATAAGATTCAATCTGATGGCCGTTGTGCCCGACAGACGTCTCGCTATTTCACATAAATTAACAATGCTGAAAACTAACCGACAAATAGTTTTGGAGGCTTTACAACAATTGGTTAAATTGAGTCATCAAGATGGTAATACTGAAAAGAACTCGCACGATTCTGACAAAGAGAAGCAATGTGAGAAAAGGCATAAAACTGAGGATGAAAATGGATTGCCTACCAAGACAGAGATGGAAGAATCGTCTTCGATTCCCACCATCAACGTTGAGAGGAATAATGATTCTGCGGTAGTTATGGATGAATCAATTTCCACTATTTCATCTGGGAAAACCGAATCTAGGTAAATCAAATTTTTCTTCTTATTATGATAAAATATGTTATCTCTAGTTTTATCTTAATATCTTAGTTTGTAACATGATTAAATTTTGCAGATTATATATAACAGATAGAGGCAGAAAGAGAGAGAATAAAGTCTTTTATTAATTATTCAATTAAAAAGAATTATGTTCTCATTCATTTATTTTCTTATAATCATGACTAATTTGTTTCTTGATGCTGTAAAAATCGTTTCAAAATCGGAACATATTACACATACGATGTAACGGTTTATACTTGATTTCAGTGGAATGGAGAAAGTGGTGATGTGTGCTCTGGATTATGCCACACCGTTACGAATTCAAACCTCGCCGGCTCACAGTTCATCGAGCACAGATACGTCATCAGAAATAGGATCGGCCTTTAATTCGCCCACTCAAGGTAATCAGAAAAGAAAAGAGATGTGCATGCTTTACACGTCATCATCGCGACACAATCGTCTAGTGGTGCACACTTTCTTGCCTTGACAAAATATCAAAGCATTTGGACAACTCATTCGAATTGATTTGATATCTTCAGACCCCGGGCTGCTGTAACATATGTAATAATGAAAATCAGAAGCGGGATCCTTCATTTTACCGAGTTCCTGGCACAATTGATTCTCTTCCATCAATTTTTTGCCAGAATCCGTTGTCATATTTTCATGACGCTCGACGAATATCTCATTTATCGGAAGTTTGTTTCCGCACGTTTTTGCACTCTCGATGTCGCAGATTCGCGAGTTTACGTTAAAAGCCGTATGTAATGGACAAGAGAATTCTAATACGGAGGCCGTTTTCGGATCGCACATATAATATCTGTTACAATCGGTGCTGTTCGGCAGACGAACGTTCTTCGTACAGGGTACAACGCTAATGTATCGTGATATTAATTGAGAAGCTATGTTCTTGTACCTATTGATCGTCAGGTACTGCTTGTTCCCGAGATTATCACTAATCCTTATTATATTGTTTTCAGGATCCAAACTGTTGATTAACAATTGCAAAGTGCTCTCTGTCGAAACGACGTTATTCGGAGTTGACGTGCTATCATTTATCTGAGATCCATTGTCTTCTTTCATTTCGGTTGGTTCATCCTCGTGTAACTTTACGTTCCCTCCGGTATAACTTTGTACTAGGTAATTTAACGTTATATTATGTTCCCGATTATGAGATTCAAATATAGCGATAGTCTTAGTCGGCTTTACAGTCGTAATATCCCTAATAGGTATCGACAAAGCACTCGATATCGCAGACAGCTTCTTGTAATTGTGCAACTGATTAATCAGTTCGTTTAAACATTTGTAATGATTGTCTATAATATTTTTATACTCTTCCATTAGAGACAACGATGCTTGTTTATTCATATGATATTCATATAAATAATTCTCCTTCTTATGATACGTCACATTTTTCGCATTCTTATCAGTGCACGTTGTCACGTTTGATTGTTCAAATTCTATTAAAGGATAAGCAGTTACTGCTTCGGTCGTTAATTCGGTGAAATTATCGATCACATAGGATGAGTCGATCACATTAGAGAAAGGATCCTGCGTATATTCTGACGAGCTCGAATCCGTTGGATACCCAACAAGTTCAGGTGTCTCGTATTTGTTCGTCACGAAAGTATTCTCGGTCGTCCAATCGCATGTCCAGATATCGCCAGGAACCACGCACATCCGTAAATATGGTTGAAATACCTGTAATTTTAGATATTAGCGTTAGCGCAACGCTATTATAATTCCCAAAGTGTCCAGATCTCTAACATGTTTGTTCGCTCGTTAACATCTTACCAAGCCTTCGGTACATTTCGATGGTATCCACACGTAACCGCCGTCAGGTAAATTCACACAGTTGTAGAAAATCGTGCAACTCGTGAGATGCGGTTTCTTGGGTTCCGGACATCGCGATGAACTCGCTAGAAAGATCAGACTGTATGCGAAGAAAAGCGATACGAGCCGCATTTCGTTGTTGCCGCTGTCGCGCGACCTATTCTGTTGCAGACTGCAATTCGTGCGTCTGTCTCATGAACATTATGTACTTTTCACACGCACACATAACATTCCGTCCCGGAAGACGCTCCATTTCGCACCTTTTATGTACAGTTATTTGACCCGTCTGTCATTATATATTATCCATTACTAGTTTCTTAATGTACAGAATTTTGGAAATGTATTGTACGCACAATGAGCTCAAATATATTATATAATATTGTGGAACCACCAGAGTTAGAAGATCTTGATATCTTTTTTAGCTTGGGGTTGGAATTCCGGTCAGAGCAGCCCTACGTCGACAAAGGACTTTAAGAAATTTGTAGTAATCAGAGTTGCCGGTGACGAGAAGAATGAAGCAGGTCTGAGTAGGTATCAGATTTACCGTACAATTTAGTAAGATTTATCATTTTACTTAACATTGAAATTTACACATTTACATACAGGTCGTTCTCTGGGGAATATTAATATAAATGGGAAAAGATTGGTTTCTGATAGCGGTCATCTACACAAGAAGGTCTGCCTATCGGGAGAAGTCAGGATACCTCACGCAAGAGTGAAAACCAGCAATGGCGACACGGTTACGGAGGAAAAAAAAGTTGAGAAAATCGATCCCAAACTGTGCTCCAAATATCCGGAATTGTTCGAGCCGCATACGTTCGCGCCTAAGGATCTTCTGGCGCTGTTAAAAAATTTGGAGCATGAGATTAGCGTGTGCGAAACTAGCTTGAAAGATGAGAATGATAAAAGAAATAAATACAAGGTCCGTACGAATTACGGAAATTTTACCATGTTTTTTCATGATAAATTATTAATTCTATATCGTAATTTATATTATCTAATTAATAAAATGCTTATAGATAATGAATATTTTAGTCTCGAAGGATGATGTAGAAATTGTGTCAATTTTTCAGATCGATGATTGTCGGAGAACGCATAATTACGACGAATTTATTTGCACGTTTCTCTCGATGCTCGCTCAGCAGGGAAAGCTGGCAGAATTGGTCCAGCAGCATTTGACATTGAAGAAGCATACTTCTGTTTCGGTCAATAGGGTTCACAGGTACGACTTTTCGCGGCTCGTCTATTAATGTTTAATTGCAGTAAATTTTCACATTTTAATTCGTAAAATATAATCTTTTTAAATTAATTAATTTATCAAGTTAAGTGTATTTTTGAAATTTTGATTTATTTATTTTTCCAGGTCATCGAAAAAGTCCGACACTCGTCAGAATTCCTCGCGCAGACGTCGTGGCAGGACAAAATGTAAGAAACGAAAGTAATCTCTTTCTAACTTTAAAGTAGGACAGCATTATTCCGTTTGTTCGGAACTATTTGAATTGTTTATAATAGATAATTATATGTGTAGAAACTATCATTTGATAGTTTTATAAAAATCCATGATCACTGAAAAGGCTATATATAATTTTCAATTGTAGAATAACACGTTAGTTTCTCTTTGAATCACCAATTTTTCAACTTTTGACGTTACTAACATTCTAACGCAATACAAATAATGGCGCATGGATGATTTTAATTGAAATTTTACATCGCGATGAAATTACTTTACAAATTAACTCGTACAACATGCAAGTTTATGCATACAGATGTATATATTGTTTTCTATTCTCTGTATAATCATACATAATATCTAAATTATATTTGCGATTTGTTTCGTCTACTCTTAATGAATACTTTATTCGTTCTTTTTTTTAATATATTGCAAAATATATGACTTGTTAAGTACGCAGAAAGTATTTGACTCTTTTTTTTTATTTTGTGTTTTTTTTTTGTCGAATTGAAAGAAGAAAAAGATGTTAAGAAAAGGGGTTTTGTCAAAAACATTGAAAATATTTATTTATCGGTATTCATATACAAGTACACTACACGCGCTGCGGATATGTCCCTTAGAATCTAAATACTTACATCTCCGAACAGCCGGAGAAAGGAAAACCAAACTTATCAGATTGGTTGGAATTACAATTTTTTATCATAAACTGACGACGGGTTAACGATCCTCGCCTTTAAGTTGTTTTATCGTTAATATAGTGCATAGGAACTGTAATCGAAACGCGCGCAAACGGAATACAACGGAAAGGAAGGAAAGAAAATGAAAGAAAAGGGAGAGTGAGTGGGAGGATGAAAATGTTCCTTCTCCGGCCGATGTTCCAGCGATTCTCGTAACTGCTTTTTGGCAAAAAGGTGCGATTGTATGTACAATTTGTAATAATAATATATTGGCTCTCGTCGTTATCATTCGAGGCGCGAGCGAGGCAAAAGTGCGCGAATAATCGATGTGTGTGTGTGTGTGCGCGCGCGCGCGCTTATGCGTGTGAAGAATTAAATCTGAAATCATGTCGAGATTTCATCCTGCTTGCGGAAAATCGTGGACGCTCGTTAATTAACGATAGAAGACAACACATTTACAATACTTTCATTCTTTTCTCTTCCGCTTTCAAACTTTTAAATCCCAACAAATTAGCCATCAGTAGTAAGTCACGGCAAAAAATGCACATGATTCGATTGTTACAGGCACTCTCGGTATTTTAGCAAGTGACGCGACTGTGAAATATAATATCTTGCTGACAAATTTCGTCCCATTTTTCTTTCTTTCAATATTGGAGCTCGGCGACGATGATTCGGAATATTTATCATACTGGTTATTTAATGTTTAACATTATCGATGCACTTTTGTATGTGCATTTTGAAGCCAAAGAATTGAAAGTTGTGACAGTTTGACAATCGGATTCTTCGCGCGACTGTCATATTCTCGACACCGCGAAATTTTACGTACAAACATATCGTATAAAATATAAAACATTTACGCTAAAGAGAGTAATGTAAAAGATACAGAGAGTGAGAGGAATATAAACGAGAATGATATCGCGGTATAATAGACAGTAGAGATACGTGTCTCTACTTTTGTGTGACTCGCAATAATCGCTCGTTCATTTTCCTCGTCGTCGTTCGCTCCACCGTATCATGGATGATTAACATACAATAAATAGAGATGCCTTAGATATACAAGATATCCGGTAAAAATCGTATCAGCTCTCGTATGCAGATGAAACGGATTAAACCGAGACAATTTTTTATCATTTTGCAATTTCGGCCAAAGTCGCAAAATGATACCAAACTTTTCCATTCGCTTTAATTCACTCTACCTATACACGAGAGATGATACAATAATATTACGGTTATTCCCGAATTAACGTCGATTCGCGCTTTTATCGTTCTACACATACTTTATCACATGTGGTAAAAAATAAACAGTTGATCGAGCGGATATATTATAATAGTTCGCCAATTCCTTCTCCACGATCGCGTCGCCGACTTGTCTGCCGATTACTCGCTTTATCGTCGTCGAGTCAATAGACTTGTTTGTCACACTTTGTCGTTTTTGGGAAAAATCACACTTTGGTTCTAGTTGCGCGATTTCGACGATTCGCGCCGATAACGCGATTCCCAATATTCGATTGACAAAGCTATATCTCGAGTATCTCTCTGAATCGACGACGACATAATTAAGCACTGTACACGCGTTGCAGCTAGCTTTAATGACGATATCGAAAAATACATCAATTTGAAAAATATATATATGTATATATATGTATATATTCGTGCGTGTGTAACACACGCATACACACAGACACGCACGCACACACTCTTGCAAATATACTCTATGTTACATACACTTGTAGGCTTGCTTAATACTTCAGTATGCGTTAAATTCCATCTTTCGAGGGAATTTTCCGCGTCCTATTGTACATACATCAATATTGGCGTTTCTCATCCGGCGTTTGTAACATAGAGATGCAAAACTTTTCGTTTTCTTCACATATACATATATACAGGCACGCTACTATGTCGTAATGATTCGATAACAAAAGTATAAAAAAGAGGCAACATATACATGTATAATCGCGAGAAAACGGACGTTTTTTCGACGAAAATTCGATACGACTGTCAAAGAAGCGCAGCCTCGGCATTCTTTCTTTTTCGCATCAAGTTTATATTTATTGAGAAAATAAATGAGGCAAATTCTAAGATAAGTGGAGCTTAGTTGCTGCACTTTGGTGCGGCTTTCGAGACGAAAAGAAATAATAAATAGGCAGCGAATTTGAAATTAATATTTTGAGTCTCTAAACATTCTAGGTAAAATATAAGTATTGCTTATAAAACTTTGAAACAATTTCAAGATTAATATATATAAAAGATCGATGTTGATAATTAAAAAGTGAAAAAGATTTTTTGACGCTAAATAATTCCAATCTATTGAAAAATCTAGCCTCAGAGTTCCACTGTGCAAAATCGTCGCTCATCGCTTTGCATGTGAATAAAATGATGTTGATGATATGATGATGCAAATGTCTAACGAAAAAGAAGAAGAGGAAAGAATCCCATTTCGTACGCTGGAATAAATCGTATTATGAATATCCGATGGTAGTGAGATAGCCGGTTGCGCGAATCGGTGAGTAACTCACGTGTAATAAGTGTTTCGTTTGGATGGCGATAGTATCCACCAGAATTCACCGATTATGTTCAGTTTGATACAACTGACTGCTCGAATCGACAAAACTCTAGTTAATGATAATATAGAAGAACGATATTAACCTACCTACGGGAGTTTTATAACGTAACAACCTTACAACACTATAGGTATCGCATCAACTCTTAATTCCTAGCTTTGCTTCGTTTCAGGATCAAGAGCGAAGAATGCCTGTAAGTCCTTCGGCCGGTAGATCGATCGGGAAATTCTAAACGGACACGACTAATATTTTTCGCGTATCGTAATAATAATTTACATTTTTTTCATTAAAGAGAAAAATACGATCTACGGGTTGAGGGATTAAAATTTCGCAGGCGAGACTTCTGATTATCAGTTCGGGGTGGCTTAAGCAGATTGATAGTAATCTAGATCTAATTACAAGTTATATTAATATAATTTATATAAATCTTGCCATAAAACTAGGTGAAATTTCTTTCCATTTTGTGATACAACATGCTTGGCTTGACATGTTTGATTAAACGAATCATCAATAAATTCTACATTTTATCAATACACATCGCATGAAATTATATAATACATATCAATAGAGATGAGAATAATCACGGTCCAAGATTTGACTTTTAAAAGAATTTATAATAATATTGTCAAGGATGAATTTAAAAGATGAATTTATAATATTGTCAAAGATCGCGATTGCTATCCACCTGCTTTCGTTGCATCCGCAAACGCGAGAATTCTTTACAATCGTGTTTAAATAAACATTTACAAAGTCTCTTTCCAATCAATCGACGATATTCCCAGATGGGCGCGACATCAGACTCCACGACAGTTTGTCCTTTCCTTCGTCACGACGTTCGCTTTACGTCGTCTTCTTTACGTTCCATTTCCAAGAATCCCGGCCAAGGGGAAGAGGAAGATTCTCGCGCGACTCCCGCGCGAAAGAAGGGCAGGCCGCGAGTCCTTCACGGCCCGCTGACCGCGGCAGCGTGTCCGGCCACCAAGCCGTCCGCCGCGGCCGCCGCCGCTGCCGCTGCCGCCGCTGCTGCCGCTGCCGAGACCGGTTTCCCAAGACGAAATATCGACTGCAGGGACGCGACCTCGGACGCCAGACGGTCCAACTTCATCTTCACTTCCCGATCGCTCTCCGAGACGGCGGGGACGGTCGACGAACCGGGCCATTCGGCGCCCAGGGAGATGCCAGAGTCGCGCTCGTCGCTCGAGCCTTCGTTATCCCAGGGTGGCGATGCCCGCGGTCCAGGTGGTTCCTGCTTGATACCTTGGAGCGCCAAAAGCGCACTCGCGGCGTCCTTGTCGCCGATGCGCGACTTATGCCTGAGCTTGTGCGGCAGACTGTTGTTGGCGGCTGGATTGTTCTGCGAACCGACGACTATCTGGGGACCGCCGGCCTCGTCGCCGCTGCCCGACGACAGTTCGTACGGCGATTGCGCCCGGCGACCGCGCGACGATAGGTTGAGCGCGCTCGAGGTATCCAGGTGGTGCATCGCCGGATGCGAGTACGGATATTGAAAGCTCTCGGTCTCGGGATACGCGGTCGTCTCGGGTACGTAAAGCTGCGAGGCGGGCGACCTGGGCGATCGGGCGCCACTCACCGGTTGGTGAATCACCGATGTGTGCACTGGGCTGGGCGTGCGAGCGTACAAGAGCGCCGCCGACGCCGGAAGTTTCGCCCGCTTCACGCTGATCGGCGGTTCCGTTGGCAGCGCGGCCAACACGTGCTCGGTGCTGATGACAGATTCGCCGCAGATGCCAAACTTGTCGCGTATCGCCTCGAGTTGCGCCTTGAGAATATGGTTCTCCTTGCTCAGCTCCATCACCCGCTGCTCCAGTACCATGTCGTTGAAACGACGCTTCTCGCGCGACCGCTTGGCCGCCTCGTTGTTGCGCCTGCGACGATCCCAGTAACTGTCGTCCTTTTTATTGTCAGGAATGAACTCGCGCTGCTTGCGCTGCGAGAACAGCTCCTTGCGGAGGTCAAAGTTGGGCGAGTAATTGTCGGGATGCGTCCCTTGGGCCGGATCGTGATGATGATGCGGCTGTGGCGACTGTTGGCCCTGATGGTGGTGATGATGATGCGGCGATTGTTGCTGCTGTTGCTGCTGCTGAGGCGGGGGCGGCGGCGGCGGTTGCTGCTGCGGTTGATGTTGATGCTGCTGGATCGCGACCGGCGGTCCGCCGTGATGACCGGGATGCGTTAGGGGCATCGTAAGGGGTCCGTGGCCATCGTGGGGCCCGTTATGGGGCGCGCCATGACCGCCACCGTGCGCCATCGTGTGCGTAGCCGGTATGTTGCTGTTCAGGCACGCGGTCTCACCATTAATGGGCGATCCACTCTGGCGGGCGACAAATTCTGCCACCATAATTTGTCTTCTTAATACATCTGGAATAAAAAGAGCACTTTAACTACTGGTTCAAGAGCCAAGTTCTAAAATATATACATATATCGTTGCATCATATTTAATTTGCAATGCGCATTTATTAATGACGAGAAAGTTACGTAACATGTGACACGCATAACATATACGTCTGAGAAACAGAGAGATAGATTGTTTTTTAAAAATCCATATTTTTTATTAAAAAATGAAGATTGTATACAATTTTTCTTTTAGGAGACTTATATTTAATTTTATTTTTAGATAATAATTTAAGAAAATAATTTATTCAATTGACTACAGAAAGCTTCTATTCGTCCCGTCAAACAACGAATAGTTTGTCCGACGCCTGTAACGTCACGCGCGTATTTCGGCGACCCGAAGATGATCACCGTTGACGATGTAGGTGTGGGTGTAGGTGTGGTCGGGGACTAGATGTGCTCTCGCACAGCTAAAGATAAAGAATGCCGAGCGACCAGAAGACATGCTCGCGCGGACGCTTCTCTCGCCCAAAGTCGTAAAATAGCCTTGGGTAAGGTCGCGCTCGCAAGGTCGAAGGTGTCAGTGAACTCGGTTCCAACATTCGTTTCGTTCAATTTGGAAGAAAAAATGCGCATTAACATTGTGGTTTTGCGAATTTCCAAGCAGTGCCTCGTGAAATTATACTTGTCCTTCTTGATCTTTTCGATTCGAGACTTACAACTTGTGGAAAAATTAAAGCTTTATAATGGGCGAAGAAAAATCGCGATAGAGCTTCAATTATTGGGCAATTACCTGCGTTATTTAAATTAAATTCTCTCGCTGGTTGATGGGAATATTTCATCATAAGCTCGTGTAATTAATTTGTTTCCTCGTCGCGCACGAAGAAAAGCGTTTCCTCGTGGGCTTTATTTTTAACTCGAGAACAAAAATATTTCTCCGGCTTCGCCTTCGTCTTCGCGTACGTATGTATACAAGCTTTAATCCGCAAGCTACGGGTTACGCAATCGCGCACGTGCGTTTGCGAACCGCTCCACGTGTCGAGTGATACATTCGGAAATATATATTTATCTGGCCTTTAGTAATTGCTGCATGAGTCGCATTAGTATTCATATATGTTAATAACGATCCAAAGATGATAATAATATTTGTTTGTCTTTTTTTTCTCCCTTTGTTTTTTCTTTTTTAGATCAATAATTGGAAAATCACGCAAAAATGCCAGTTAATCAGACACCATTTGCTTTACGTATAATCTATACATAGAAAATAATTCACTTCTAGATGAGGTGAATTCCATTACGCGTTTTATATGCGGAAATATTTTAATCGCGCTCATGATAATGAATTTTATCATCATGATATAATTGCAAACTTAACTCGCATAAAAAAGTCACACGCGTTTCGATGACTATCATATATGATTCCAAATTTTATGATTTATAAAAAAGATATATATATATGTATATAAAATGTATTTTAAATTATATATATATTTTTACTTAACATACAAGTTTCTTTATAGTTGCCAAGTTTTTTTGCGTCATATTTAAAAAAAAACTTTTTTTCATAATCTAGATTTTATAGGCATAATATATGCATTATTATTACACTATAATTGATGTAGCGTGAAAAATAAAGTTCTAACAATAAAATGGCTTACTTCATCTTACAATTATGTAACTTTAGATTCTAAAAAAAATGATACACGAGTGATAGAAGACGTCCCGAAGCGCATTAGGATACAGTCCATTATGTAAGCCGCGTTTTCGCGGAACACGTGCATTACGCGTTCGTTGCTGAATAACAATAATGCTTTGGCGACACGAGAGAAAAGAGAGAAGGAAAAATGTAGAGGGAGGGGAGAGAAAAAGAAAGCAAATGTGAATGTTCTTTATCAAATTTTTTCAAAGAAATAAACATTTAACGTGACCGAGTGTTGAGTATCGATTACTTGAAAATTTGAAAATTCGAAGAAGAGAGGGAATAATAAGAAAGATTTCTAGAATCTCCCCTCCCTCCTGTTATGGAAATCGGACGACTCACTCATCGAATGACGCATGCTCTCCCGCTTATTATTTAATCTAACGTTACGCAATTTTGTTGCTGCTTGTTTTTAGAAATTCGGGAATGTTAGTCATTAGTTTTTTTCGGTGAAAAGTAGCCTTAACGATTAATCATTTTAATGGAAAAATAAAATATTTAAAGATACAATTGACGCGAATTTTTCAATTAATATCTTGCAAAAGAAATAGTTCAATAGTTTTTAATTATCATAAATTTTCAAAAAAATTATGTACAGAATTTTACGCTCGAATTTTGAGGGTTGAAGGGTTATAAATCGCGTTGCTATTACGATATGTAATCCAAAAGTCAATCGACTTGTCCGAGATACGTATCAACCAACGACGCGAATAATGAATTATCGGTGAAACGTTGTCGAAATTGAGCAATCTTTTGAAATTCCAGGCGGTCGCTTAAATCACGTATACGACAATTTTGCGTGTGACTCACGTTAACTCGGAATCTGATCTATCAATTTTTCCACGTCGTCCGGAAGCCATTCATACGAGGCTCTTATTGGAATAAAAAAATAGACATCTCAACTGACACATGTGATTCAAAAAAAAGGAGGGCCAAAAATAAATCTTGAAATTATTTTATTATTATTAGGAACATATACGTGCGTGTATTATTAGGAACATATACGTGCGTATATATCGTATATTTATTACACGTACCCTATTATATGTACATATACGTAGAAAAATCAAAGGTCCAACAAAGTACGTCGCAATCTTGCGAAATCCAATTTCGATGGACGCGCTCCAAAACTCGCTCCACTTTCGCCTACGAGGGGACCGCCGACCTCCCGAAACACCTCTGCGTTTCCAAATTAGCTCGGAATTATTTCGGTGACTCGTAAATCTTGCCGAAGCACGCAAGTGCGTCTATTTAAAAACGCTGGTTCGCGCGTATTGTTGTCGCCGCGCGACGACTTTCCCCAAAATCGCGCGTCGACGACAATCGGAATCCGATTCGATTCCGGAGTCGATTTCGCGGAAGCGGTCGCTCGTCGTGTCGGCGATTTAATTAGGCGCGTAAACAACATTGTTGACGAACCGTGAGGCCGGGCATGGTCGTCGCTGGCTAATGGAATTCCGACGCAAATCGCGCAAACAACTGGCCGCGACTAGACTGGCGCGATAGGTCGCGTTTCGCGTCGCACGCGTTTGTGACGCATGCGGAAACACCGCGTGGTGTTGCGTCGCGCCGCGCCGCGTGACGTACGCCACGTGTTACGTTCGGAGTCGGGACGGTGGGAGGGGGCGATAGGAGGGGAGTCACGTTCCGTTTTTTCCGCTCGTACGCGACGCACACGGACGCGAATAATCAAATTTGCGAATCTGCGCCGGACCAAACGATCCGGGATCTGAATTTAAAGAATTTTTTTTTTCATTTCAAGGCTCCTTTAATTTGCATGTAGATCGCGGCGGTCGATTGCGCGACTATTACATCATATGCGTCAACGGAAGTAATTCGATTCGGATAAACAGAGTCTGCGGTTTGCGTAAATACGTGATATTTATTTTATTTGTATCATGTGTGTGTGTGTGTGTGTGTGTGTGTGTGCGCGCGTGCTGCTGTTATCGCGATCCACGTCACTTGAGACAATATATTTATAATTTATACGTATTTATAATTTGTGGGAAATTCAAAATGGAAAGAATTTTATGAATATTTCGACACACACATACGTGTGCATTTTGCACGTGTATGTACGTATGATTATATATTCTAATGTTTCAACGTAAAATTATAAATACAATTCTGTTTCGGAATTTTTTTCACCGCAAATTATACAGAGATTGCTCAAGTCGGATTTTATAAAAAAAAGTTGATGAGCAAGGAGGTATATGGAAAAACGTACTCCGGTACTCAAATCGAGGTTAAAACAGCCTTTAAAACAGATTCTTATGACGTCAGTGTGCGGCATTATTCTGTTATTCCCCAGCCAGATAAAGATGCCTTCTACGGAAATGAGCTTATTCTCTAACGCGTCAAACTAAATAAAAATGTTGCGCAATTCCATTAATCGCTAACGATTCCTCGTATTATTAATATATCATTTGATTGTATAATCTATTGCAGTTTGATTATATATTTTATTGTAATTTCCCTTTTCGTTCTGTGAAAATTATACTTGTATATAATACATGTAAAAAATATATATATGTATATGTATATTTAGTGATGAGCTTCATCGAAATGCTTTCGCGAATATTCCAAGTCGCCGAAGAGTCATTGGGAAAAATAAGTGATGTTGAATCATGTAAGCGCCACAATTTTCTTGCAATCATTTCTCCGAATCATCGCGTCGATTGTGTGTAAAGTCGTAGGTTGCACCCACGTGGCTTTTCCGCCGAAACGTCACGACTGCGTAATTCGTTCATAGCCATCATATATATATATATATCGTACAACGTGCTTGCTTGGAAAATGATTATATGCGATGCAAGAGACACAGATACAAGCGCGCGCGATAACTTGGCTCGCTACATATTATACATATGACATACATATACATATTTAATGATGAGCTCATTGAACGTGTGTCGCGCAGCTTTTAGATGCGCAAATTAAAATTTTTCGAAATACCAAGATATTTTTAAAATGTGATTTCCGTCGTAAATTCGCAGATTCGGAGGATACATATTTGTTCTTAAATATCACAAGACCGATTTGTCACGGGAAACTACAATCGAGTCGCCATCGATGACTCGATTCGAAATCACGCGCTATTAATATTTGGCCGTTGTTGTTCGCGCGATAAACAACGCAACGAGGAAAAAGATTGCGGCCAACTGCGCGGCTCTCTCTTTTCGTTCGTATTTTTCTTCGACGAAATCTTATCTCATCTAATAATATTCCGGGAATGGAGGAAAAAAAAGAAATGCAGAAGGGAGAGATAGAACGCGTACCCACGAGCGCGCGTGCGTTTCGACACCGCACGTTGCGCAATGCGGGCAAG